TTCTCAGAAGTACCTCAATGATGAAAGTGTGGAATTTCCCTGAAATTTTCCTATCTAGTTAATCGAGAAGTGAGTAACCGTGTTTTCTGTTGCATTCTAATAGTTCTATTGGCTAAGGTTTCGTATCTACGAATATATCTTATGTAAATGCGAATGATTTACATTCGATGCCGATCAATCTTATGAATTTCTTCAAATTGGTTTCAATTGTTGAGTAAGTTTTCAGTTCCACCAACAATTCATCCCGAGATGGTCAATTATACAGCAAATCTGAAAGAGTCAATTGTCATACCATGCAATGCAACTGGAATCCCTGAACCAGTTGTTTCGTGGGTGAAAATGCCGAATATTGATATTGTTGCAAATGATGAGAGTAAGCCAATTTTCTCATTTCAGTGCTGTGGCCACTTAGTTTGTCACATTAGAATTGCAAGGTCTGTATGGGACGAAGAAATGCCTAATTGTGGTTATCTGACGCAATCGAATTTTAAACTGTTGAACATTTTGTTCATTGATAATTCCCTTGAGTAGCGATTGATTTTTCACATGCGCTTGGATATTTCAATATGCAGTTGCTTGTGCTATATTTTGCATCTTTTTAATGCTTCATCCTTTCAAAAACACTATTGAGTGTATTTTAGAGTATCGGATACTTGGAACATCATTGGGAATCCGGAATATTGCACCAGAAGATGACGGTTTTTATCATTGTATTGCCAAGAGCAATGCTGGTCAGGCTATTGGTTCGAGACGTGTCACAGTGAAACGTAACCTTTTCTCATCCTTTAATCAGTAATTCTGCCTATTAGTTCTGCTCGAAGAAAACGAATCAAGAAAAGCGAACAAGTAAAATGTCGATATTTTGATCGAAAATCTTTTGAACTTTATTTAGTACCAATAAAAGACTACAAGGTGATCTGGGTGGAATGTGATGAGATGGGAAATCCTGTGAAAACAACCTACGTTCCGGCACGCGGTGATGTGCCCGAAGATGGAACCAATCTCCTGCCATGGAAACAAGATTATCAGGTGAGATCTTCTTTACGAGTTCTTTTTCTCAGCATGCAGCGGAAATCCTCATGGGGAAAGAACTTTCATTGTTGATCTAAAAAACTCACTATATTTGTTTTCTGTACAATTTTTTCATCTCTTAAACCAAGCCTTGATGAGAATTCCTCTTTTTTCAAGCATTGTTTCAAAACTCGATGTTGACATACCAAGCATGCTCTAACTGGATGTCCCTCCTCGCCTCCTAATGCGACTGAAATTTCCTCTGCGAGATCATCAACCTTCATGAATAATTTTGAGGATTTACCCAAGAATGGAACGAACGGTATTCTGATCCGATGCTTGCCAGGAGTGAGGGGTCCTCGTCGTGTGCCCATTGCTACTGCGCCTCATTTCACCTATTCCCCACGTTCACAAACAGTTCGTCTCGGTTCAACTGTTTATCTTCATTGTAGGTATGTGATAGATGCACAACTGAGTATCAATTTCACTGAAACTTTTATTTATCATCATCGCAGTGGCACTTCTCAAATTAATCTGATATAATGAGAGTATTGAAAGTTGACAAATCTAAAACTGCAATCGGAACCGTCCATTTGTAATAACTCACAGTGACATCTTATGC